GAAAGGTCCCAGGTTCGATTCTGGTCAAAGGCACATGCCCAGGTTGTGGGCTTGATCCCCATTGTGGGGTGTGCAGGAGGCAGCCGATCAATGATTCTCTCTCATCATGGATGTTTCTATTCTCTCTCCCTCTTCCTTCCTCTCGGAAATCAATAAAAAACATATATTAATAATAATAATAATAATAATAATAATAATGATAAAGGCATCACTTCCTATCTCACAGAGAAAACAGAATTGGGACAGAAGATAACTTTTATCTGCCCCAAGCTCTGTATTTACCTGCACTACCTGCATCTGTGCTCATAGATTGGCTTCTCTTTTGCTATTGCACATAAATTGTCCATGCTCTAATAAAACCATTCCCCACCACCCCTCCATGTGCCAGATCACATACTCTTACCTACTAAAAGATACTGTTTCTTATCCTTTTTGCATCATTAGCTTTTCCCTCTGATCATTCCCATTCAACAGATACATGTAATGCTACCCATCTTACCAAAAATATCCCCCACTGACTCTTATCTCCCCTTCTAGCTACCACCCCATTTCTCTGATACCCCTTAAAGCAAAACAAAGTTATCTAAACTTACCACCATCTCTAATCTCTCTTGTCCCATAAGCTTGGACCACTACTTCTCTGAAACAGCTTTTATCACGGTTGCCAGCAATTGCCAAATCGCTAAATCTAGTAATCTCAATTTGTAATTGATCTCTTCTTTCCTTTTTGAAATATTCTCTTAATGTACCTCCCATTTAGTGCCTTCATTCACTTTCTCCTTCAATAATTGGTCCTTAGTTTCTTCTATAGGTTCTTTCTCATCTCTAGCCTTTAAATATATTTTATTGATTTCAGAAAGGAAAGGAGAGGGAGATAAAAACATCAATGATGATACAGAATCATTCATTGATCGGCTGCTTCCTGCACGCTCCCCATTGGGATCAAGCCTACAACTCATGTATGTACCCTCACAGGGAATTGGACTGTGATCTTCTGGCTCATAGGTCAGTTTTCAATTACTGAGTCATGATGGCCAGGTTCTGCAGCCTTTAAATGTTGGACTTGGCTCTGTCTTATAACTTCAAATTGTTTTTCTACTCCATCTACTTTCACTCCAATCTCATGACTTTCAGTGCTCTCTACAAGCTGAAAATCAAATCTCAAATATCTTTAGCTGGGATCCCTCCCCTGAATTCCAGTCTAAATCTGCTCCTCTCATGTCCCAGTCTCAATAAATGACAACTCCATTCTTCTACCCTGTTTCCCCCAAAATAAGAGAGTGTCTTATATGACTCCATTTCTTTCAGAATCAGTGGACCAAATCTCTCATGTTTAGCCTGGGGGGGGGGAAATGCCTTATATTTCACTCAGAAGGAAACCTGTAAGTAGGTCTTATTTTCGGAGGATGTCTTATTTTCGGGGAAACATGGTAGTTGCTCAAGTCAAAAGCCTTGCAATCCCTTGATTCTTTTTTTCTAGTCCCATAAATCCAGTCTGACCCAACAATAATCCTATTGACTCTACCTTAAAAATATACTCAGGCCCTGATCAGGTAGCTCAGTTGGTTAGTGTCATCCTCTTATGCCAAAGTTTTGGATTCAATCCTGTCATGGCACATGTAAGAACCAACCAATGAATGCATAAATGAGTGGTACAAATCAGTGTTTCTCTCCCTTCCTCTCTATTTCTAAAATCATTAAAAACACACACACACACACACACACACACACACACACACAAAATATTCAGAATCTAACTAACCCTTTGTGATCCCCTCCACTGCTATCACCCAGGCAAGCTACCTAATATTACTGTAATAGCCTCCTACTTTCCCTGCTTCTTCCCCTTTACAGTCTCTGTTCAACAGAGTAATCCTTTAAATTTTTGTTTGTTAATTCTCAACCAAGGATATTTTTCCATTGACTTTTTTAGAGAATGGAAGGAAGGAGAGACAGAGAGAAACATCGATGTGAGAGAGACACATCAATTGGTTGCCTCCCACAAGCTCTTTAACCAGAGCAGGTGCAACTGAGCTAAGTGCCCTTGACTGGAAATGGAATCCGTGACTCTTCAGTCCTCAGGCTGACATGCTATCCACTGGCTTTCTGTCTGCTGGGAATGCCCTGCCTTGAGATCTGCACAGATCACTCCCTCTCTGCTCAAATGTCATCTAACAGCAAGCTTTCTCCAATCATCCAATACAAAATGCCAGTCCCTGCCTATGCACAACTTATCTTTATCTTGCTTTACTTTTCTTGTTGGCACTTACAACCACCCAGCATACTCCATATTTACTTATTACTTTTTGAGAGCTTTGAGAAAACTGTCATCTTGTCTGTTTTGTCTACTATTGTGTTGCCTCGAACAGTGCTTGGCACATAGCATGTCCTTAGTATATATCTGTTGAAGAAATCAAATGATCTGATTTTGGATATTTATAGAACTTACTAAAGGGGGGGGGGGGTCCCTCAGCCTGGCCTGCCCCCTTCTCACAGTCCCAGAGCTCTCAGGGGCTACCCAGCGATCAGGGGGAGGCAACACCCCCATCACACCTCTGCTGCTGTCACTGCCAGCAGCACAAGCCTTGGCTGGCCCTGGGAGGCTGAGGGAACTGGGGGACTCTGGAGGAAGGCGCACAGAGTGGCTGGACCCGCCTGGGGGTGGGCCTGGCTATGCTGCATGCCTGCTGTCCTGGTGGGGCTTAGGGGACTGGGCTCCAGCATCTCTGAGGGCGGGGCAGCCAATTAGCATATTCCCTCATTATTACATAGGATATTCAGGATTCTAAACACCATAGCAATGTGTTAGTTAAAGACTCTTAAAGAAAGTGACTATCCACTTAAAAAAATAATCCATTATAATAACTGAAGAACAGTTTGCTACAGTGTACAACATGTGCAATTGGTGATACATATATCCACGCAATGACACTGTTGATTGGCCACCCATCAGTCAGTCAACCTCCATACTCGGACTTACTCCTTGATTACCAAATGGTGATATGTTCAAGTTTAGGGAGACTCCTAGGTACTCATCTTTGCCTGTTTTGAAGTGTTAGGCATAGTGCCAGCTATGCAGTCTTACCTTTAAGCTGTGATGGAAGATTTCTGATGGACAGTACCTCTTGCACAACATACTGATTCACCCCTCCACTTTTCAACAATTCCTCTGGGGTTAAAGGCAGATGGAAATCACACAGTTGGGGAGACATCCTTCTTCCACTGGCTCACAGGGCTGGAAACCAAACAGAAAACATCTAAGGCCCATCTTTTCTTCTAGTTCTCCTCTCCCTCATTACATAATGATTTTTAGTCTTACATCATGCAGATAGCATTATCTTAGAGCAGTGTTTCCCAAACTTTTGATATATGTGTACCCCTTCTATAATTTTCGTAACGCTGAGTACCCCTTGTACTCATGAGAAGGTAGAATTAGGCGCAGCTAAGCACGGTGCAGTGCATATCCCCACCAAACTCTTCCCGTACCCCTGAGGATACACGTACCACACTTTGGGAAACACTGTGAGAATATGAGATCTACCCAGAAATAAAATCTCATTTCACGCATGACTCTGCCACTTGGTCACGTCATGAACCTCATGTGTAAAACGGGGTTCCTAGTTTCTGATTACTTTACATAGGTGCTCTGAGGACCTAAGGAGTCAAAGGATTATTAAAGTGTGTAGAGAACTGTAAAGCGGCATATCAATGCCTTGTGTTTGCTTTATTATTTTTTTATGGACAAAGCTTATTAAGTAGAATGGCTCCCCTGAGATCAGAACAATGGTTTCCAGGCTCCAGAATGGGAGAGCATTAATGTTTATGACATGTTTACTGTATGCCAGGTCCTACTAGGCTATTTGAATATTAAATCTGATTTAATTCTTCAGATTCTTACTCTTATAGAATACATAACACAGCCCAATTTACAGATGATGAAAATGAGGCTAAGAAAGCTTAAGGCAAGAGACGCAAAATTCTGCCGCAGATCTATCAGACTGTTTTTACCGCATCGTACCCCGAGGATATGCCCACTAGTCCTCCCTGCCTCTCGTATGCCGCCTAACACCGCGTTCTAACACCCGTACCCTCCGCACCCTACTCTCCCAGTCTTTTCATTATCCGCCCTCCATGATCACCACATCTTACCCGAGAACCTCACCGGTCGTTCCTGGGACTCCGGCAGTGGGGCTGAAATGGAGAAAGCCCGGCGAGCATAGTGCGCACCAATCAGCGAGGCAGCACTGAAGCGGGCAGAGAGAGCGGCCAATCCCCAGCAGGCGGAGGCAAAATCCTGCCTCTGAGCCGGGCGACGCGCGGGCAAAGCCACAAACATGGAGTTCAAATCTCAACGGCCGCCAGGGGACCAATCGTGACGCTCGCTGCAGAGACCGGCCAATCACAGCCCAGGATCCGGAAAGCCGGGCCGCGCCGCCAGGAGAGGGGCGGGGCCTAGTTACAGACTCTGCTGCCTGCCTTCTTTGGTCCTTGGCCCGCAGTCGGTGGGGAGGAGACCCCGGCAGTGTCTGCCAGAGATGCCGCGTGCCTAGTTGGACCCATTCAGTCAAACCCAGAACTGGAGGCAAGTCCAGGCCGGGATTTAGGTTTAGCATCTCGTCCGGGTTCCGCCATCTCCTCTGCTACGTGAAGTCCAGCAAAGTCACTTCACTCAAGAGCCCGATTTCCTCCCCTGTACAATAGGGATAGTAAAAAGAAAAAAAAGCGACAGCGCAAAACTGCTGTAAGGCATAGAAAAAGGAAGCCTTGGGTTCCAGGGTCTGGACCATCTCCCTCGCAGTTGAGGGATGGCCAAAGAAACAAAAATGCATTTTCTTGAAATCCAGTTTTGGGATACACGGACGTAGAGAAGCCCTCACCTCTTCCGCCGCTCCAAGACTTCCTGCTCGCAGAACGGAAGCGCCTAGGCGGGGCAGGGTCTGAGTGACAACCGGGGCCTCCATGCGTCCGAACCAGGAAGGCGGGGCTTGTGGCTGGGGTAGGAGGAGCTTAGGAGCTCCCTGCGCCCAGAGATACCTGGGTAAGGCCCAAGATGGCTGCTTCCACCTAAAACATAGGTGAGGGCAGCGCGAGCGGTTCCTGTCATCTCCTTGGAGGTCACGCCTGGCTAGCACTCTGCTATAGCTGCATGCTGTTGTAGGGGAGAGACGGGCACGATGGCAGGGTGCCTCGCTTCGGGTGCAGGAAGGCGCCTGTGGAGCTGGGTGCCCCAGGCCTGCAGAAGTTTCTCTCTGGGTAAGTGGCGGATGTGGAGAGACGCGCGGAGAACTGCTTTTCAGTAAGCGGCCAGGATTCAGTCTCTTTCTTCTCCATCCCTTAGGTGTTCCTGACTTGTATTTTGTAAGGAACACCGTCCCGCCCCCCAAAGTGGTTGATCGCTGGAACGAGAAGACGGCCATGTTTGGGGTATATGATAACATCGGCATCCTCGGTAAGATTGACTCCCTTGTACAGGCAATTATGTTGTAACAAGGGCCTCCCCCCCAACCCCCCCCCCCCGAACTGTGTAGGAATGGTACCGTGAACAATAGCAAAGAGCAAACACTCATGTGGTTATTTACGTTATATTGGGCATTGTTCTGAGTGTCCTACATGTATTAAATCATTGAATCCGCATAAGAACGTTTCACTTTGCAGGTGAGGAAACTGAGGCATAAAGAGGCTAGGTAATTTTTTCAAAACTAGCAAATGGCAGTGCCAGTATTTGAACCCCAAACAATCTGGCTCCAAAGTCTGTGCTCTTGATACTGTAGTATAACGTGTCTTGTCTGTAGGTGCTGCTCTGAACGGTGCAACTTGTGCTGAAGGCTTAGCAGCTGGTCGAGGCTGTGTTGTCTTAGAACTAACATGTTCTCTCACATTACACAGGAAATTTTGAAAAGCACCCCAAAGAACTAATCAAGGGCCCAAAATGGCTTCGAGGCTGGAAAGGGAATGAATTGCAGCGTTGTATCCGAAAGAAGAGAATGGTTGGATATCGGATGTTCAGTGATGACCTACACAAGCTTAACAAACGCATCAGCTATCTCTACAAACATTTTAACCGACATGGAAAGTACCGGTAGAAGAGTAAGCTGGGGACTCTGGAAAAGGCATATCTAATATCCAGGTGAAGGGAAATAGTACTTTTTTCCCCATGAGGAAAGGACTTTGTATGCTCTCCATAATAAAATGAGGCTTCTTTAGAATCTGTTATCCACACACTTTATTTTCCTCTGGATGCTACTTTTACTCACATAGACTATGAAGTCTACTCATTCCTAAGTCTTAGGATCTTAGATTTGGACTTTACCACTTGCCTTTTGCAGTTTAGCCATGTCTATTTGCCTTTAAGAAAGAAAAAATATTGTTGGCACTTTTTGACATTTAGGTTTCATGTATTGAAAGTGGTAATTTTTAATTGCCCCTTAATGTTAAATGTTAAATATATTTTTAAAAATTCACATTGGATCTGGCTGGTGTGGATCAGTGGTTGAGCATCAACCTATAAACCAAGGAGCCCACTTTTCAGGCTTGGTCCACAGTTGGGAGTGGGAAGGAGGCAGTCGATCAATGATGATCATCATTGATTTTTCTCTCTTTCCCTCTTCCTTCCTCTCTGAAATCAATACAAATTTATTAAAAAGCAAAAACAAAAAAACAACAACAAAAAAAAACTACACCGGAGTGAAATGCAATGGAAAAGTGGAATTATATTTCTATTCTTGTAAAAACTATTGGTTACCTTTTCTGAGCAGAGAATTGTAGGAGAAACAGAAATGTGTAGTATATCCTTGACCCACTCTCTGCATATGCTTTTCTAGTTAAGGATAGTTTATTCTATCCTATCCTATATAATAAATCAGCTGAATGGCGGAATGACATGCACTGACCACCAGGGGGCAGATGCTCAATACAGGAGCTAAGGATGTCCAACTGGCTTAGGGGAATGGGCCTAAGCCTTGGTGGGACATCTTCGAGGGTTCCTGGACCGTGAGAGGGTGCAGGCGGGGCTGAGGACCCCCTCCTGAAGTGTACAGATTTCGTGCACCAGCCTCTAATGTATATATATTCAGAACACCTTGCACTTAGCAGTCTCAAATATTCGATTGTCTCCTCTCCCAAGTCCCACCAAATCATGTAAGGTATTCCAGAGCCACTCACATTTCATACCCACTTCTCCATTCTTATATCCAGCTCTTCTCCAGCCATCATTTTGAAAACTCTCTCCCATATTATTATGAGCCCTGACACATAATATATACATTTCCTTAAGACCCAGGATCTTAATTTATATTCACACATACCCATATCCATTTCTCTGAAACCCTAAACTTATCACATGGGGAGTGGGCCTAAGCCGGCAGTCGGACATCTAGCCACCACTGCTGCACTCACCAGCTGAGAGCCTGGCTTCTGGCTGAGCAGTACCTGTGGAAGAGACTGACCACCTGGGGCAGCTCCAGCATTGAGCATCTGCCCCCCCCAGGTGGTCAGTGCAGTCATAGCGACTGGTTGTCCTGCTGTTTGGTTGATTTGCATATTAGCCTTTTATTACAAGAGGTTCTAAATTGGGGTTGAGTACCACTGCTTTGGAAAATGGAAGAAGGCAAGGGAATGTTTTTTAGGGTTCCTTTATTTTGGCTGAGTCTTTGAACTCATAATATTTTTGCTTTTTGATTTTGCTTGGTTTAATGTGTCTGTGTCTGTCTTCTCCACTAGTTAAGCCTCATTCCCACTGAAGGTAGGGACTATCTTGTACATATTTGCTTGCTGCAGTAGTTGAATATCTGGCATATTAGACATCTTTGTATATGGGATTTTAAAAAAATACGGATTTTAGAGAAAGAGAAACTTCGATTGGTTGCCTCCCATAGTTACCCCAACTGGGGATCAAACCTGCAACCTAAACTATGTGCTCTGACCAGGAATTAAACTGTGACCGCCCATTTCATAGGTCGATACTCAAATCATTGAGCCATGCTGGCTGGGCTCCTTTTTATGATTAAAATAAAACCTGTTAAACTAGTAACGGGGAATTTCATTAATTTGATAAAAATTATACACTAGAGATCAACAATATAGGTTTATGGACATGTATTCTCTTTGAAAATCAGCAACATGACAAGGATGCCCACTATTGCTGCTGCATTATAACTTAGTACTAATGGTCCTAGTCAGTTTACAAAAATTTAGCGGTTGCTAAGGGTAGGGATGGGGTATGTGTGGCTATAAAGAGAGAGCTCCAGGGAGTCTTGTGCAGTTCTGTACTCTTGATTGTGGTTGGTGGTAAAAGGAGTCCTCACATATTGCATAAAACTATATATACATGCAGATGCACACACAAATATACACAGGAATGCATATAAAAATGGCAAAATCTGAATAAACTGTGGATTGTACCAATGTCAATTTCCTGGTTTTAATATTACAGGTGAAGGGCTATAGGGGAACCTCCCTGTATTATTTTCTTAAGTTTAAAACTTTTTCAATTAAAAAAAAAATTCAGTGACTTAGTCTCTTTCAGGGGAAAGTTGGTGGGGATACTTAGGTGTTCATGCTGCCAAAAATAATTCCTCTCCTTGATTTTGTCTTTGGGGTTTGTGATTTGTTTTCAGTTCCTACAAGTTGTCATTTTGGTGTGGTTCTAGGAGGTAGGTGGGATAAAGACATGATCAATACATTATGTTTCTAAGAGCAATTGTTTAATAGTTTTAGGCAGGGTTGTGACATTTGCATAGATCAGTGGTTGGCAAACTGCGGCTCATGAACCACATGCTGCTCTTTGGCCCCGTGGGTGTGCCTCTTCCACAAAATACCACGGCGTGGGCGAGTCTATTTTGAAGAAGTGGCATTAGAAGAAGTTTAAGTTTAAAAAATTTAGCTCTCAAAATAAATTTCAATCGTACTGTCGATATATGGCACTGTTGAGTTTGCCAATCACTGGCCTAGATCATTCTGTGGTTCCCTTGAGGATAGATAGGACGGAAGGCAAGACCAGAAACAGAAAGATACTGTATTTCATTGTACACTTTTTTTTTTCATTTTAACATCTAAATTAGGTTGTTTCAATATAACTGTTAGCCAAATGAGTGTCTGCGGCTTGGAAGAAAATTCAGAAACAGAAGAGGGACACTTTGAAGAAATGCTGTCTCACCAAAGTTCTTGATGACTGACTACATTGTGTGGAAAATTATGAACATCTAAGACTTAGTCAAAACAATGAATCAGCCGAGACCGGTTTGGCTCAATGGATAGAGCATCGGCTTGGGGACTGAAGGGACCCGGGTTCGATTCCGGTCAGGGGCATGTACCTTGGTTGCGGGCATATCCCCAATAGGGGTTGTGCAAGAGGCAGCTGATCGATGACTCTCTCTCATCGATGTTTCTAACTCTATCTCTCTCCCTTCCTCTCTGTACAAAATCAATAAAATATTTAAAAAACAAAAAACAAAACAACAACAACAATGAATCATAAGGGCCTCTGAATATGACATTTTAGGAATACTGTTATGTTATTCTTCCGTATTTTCATTTTTTACTAGTACATATGCACCATAGTAAAATATGATAAAAAATCTCTAAATCTATACTTTTAATAAATATAAAATCAGTTCTGACTGATAAGAAAGCATCGTGTCTTTGCTATCTCCCCCACCCCCCCCAGGGAGCTAAAATAATGAGTTTTACAACGGATAAGAACAATGAGACAAGGGGAGAGAATTCTTGAAATACTAACGAGGAAAAATCGACACAACTTGTTGAACTAGTAGAGGAGGAGTAAAGATGCGCGGGGAGGAATTCCAGGATGGTTTCCATTTGGACCCGCCTAGTGGCAAAGGTGCCTGGAAGGCACAGCAGGAGCGTGTTTGGCAGGAAGCGTGTAGGATGCTCTGCGTGAGGAGCTGGTGACAGTGGATGAACGGAGCCTTCGGTTCTGCTTTGGGACGCACCCCGCGCCCGCTACTTGGGCCAAGAGCCTGCCGCTCTGTCTGGATAGACTTTGCCTCCTCGGAGTTGTTGGTCAGAGGCGGGCAGGTGGGTGGAACGCCGCCAGTCCGGGAGTCTGGGCTGCGCGTAGACTGACAAGCCACCGACTTCCCGGGACCCCCGAGCCCCGGCCACTGTGAGCCGGGACGCTGGCGGCCGATTCGCTGGCGGCCGGGACACTCGGGCCGCTGCCGGCGGAAGAGGCGCGATTGGCTGGAGCTGCCGGCCTTGGGCGGGGCCTCAGAAGCTGTTCAGCGATTGGCTGGGAGGCACCAAAAGAGGTTTAACTCAAAATGTTGGAGTTGCCCCTCCAGAGGCGTGTTTCCACAACCCCCTGTCGCTTAGTTGCAGATTAGCCAACTATAGTTCCATTTGTCAGTGAATGAGAAAACCGCTCCTTTCCGTGAGAGGAGAGCTTTGATTGGCCGATTTGCTCGGGCGTCCCAGGTGGGCTGCGCCTGGCCTGGGCGTGGATTGGGCCGCGGGACTGTCAATCTTACTGGGGGAGGCGTGGCCGGCACTAATAAAGACCGGGACCGAACCGCAGCTGCAGTAACTTCCACCGCAGCTAGAGCTCCGGATGGTCAACTAGACGTGCAGCTCGGCAGTTCCGTGGACGTTAGCCGCAGCGTTCCCCTCGCCGCAGCCTCCGGAGAGGAGACCGATCCTCACTTCTCAGAGAAATGTGAGTTGACTCTGCTGTGAGGGGGCTCGACCCTCCTTGCCAACTCTCATCGCCAGCGTCTGATTCTGCGGGATCGAAAATGGCGCATTGCAGCAGCTGCAGCGACGCGGGGAACTACCACCGCGCGCAGCCCCCAGACCTGAGCACCCCCAGGGAGGAGGGCAGTACCCCACTCTTGCACCAGCCACAGCCAGCACCTCACGGGCGGGGCAGGGGCGCAGGGGTCCCACATTCATTGCACCCATTCTCTCCAAAGGAGCGCCTCATCCAGGTCTCGGTCTAGTGGAGCCCGGGAGAGGGCGAAGGTGGGGGGCATGGAGTTATCGGGTAGGAGTCTGAACGAATCTGTACTTGGTTCCTCTGGAAAGACAGTCATAGGTGCATCTGCTAGTGAGTAATTTGTGTATATCCCTCACCCCAACTGTTACGTGTTGCCTCCCTCCCACTTTGGCAAAGAGCAAAGCTCCAGAAACTTGTCTGTCAGTTAGTTCTCTGGCGCCGAGTGAGCAGCTCTGGAGTGCTCAGGGGCAGTGCCATATGATTCCAAACAGCCATTCCTCCCAAGGCCACCCTGAGGTGTTTCCCTTCATTGAGTCTCAGCCAAGTGTTTGGAAGGGAAATAGAGCTGGGGATCCCCGTCTTCCCCGACGCATTACATTTAGTCTCTGACCATCTTTAAGATCCTGAGAAGTGAAGAGAAGTGAAGCACTCCCCTGTCAAGACCACTGTCTGCTTGGTAGAGATTTTTCTTTCTTGTCATTGCCTGGATGGAGTCCTGGCCTGGACCTAGACATATTTGTGTTGCTTCTCTTAGTGACAAAAAAAAAAGGGGGGGGGGGAAGATTTACTTATCCTACATAAAGGTTATAACTGTTCTGGATATTTTATTGCCAAGTGTTCCCAACTCCCAACTAATAGTCAGTGGGATGGTCCTTTCAAATGCTTTATAACCATGTCACATTTTTTCAGTTTGATTTCTGCAGCTTTTACTCTGTGACATTCTGTGCATTTTGGCCAAGTCCTAGGATTCCATTTGTCTTCATTTGGGGAAGGAGGATCCTTCTCGGCTGACTGGCTCCCAGTAGCACCCATGTGGGATGTGCCAAGGAGGTAGAGAAAGTGTGGTGACCAACAGAGCATCACAAGGTCTCAGGCCTTAATCTTGTCATTGCTGCCGCCATCCTGGACTGCTTCCAAGACCAAACAGTGGCTTCTACCTACTCCCTGGATTTTCCATCTTCAGAGAACTAGATGGCTGCTTAGTTCAGTGGTAGCACCAGTCTGTGGCTTTGGACCTCCCCTTTGCCACCTTTACACCTTAGAAGTGAGAAAGTGATAAGCAAATGGGGATAAGTCAGATGTAATCTGCTAGTATCTCCTTTCTGATGTGTTATTCTCTATCTTCTTAGACTTGAAAGAAATTCTTTTAGGGAGGAGGAATTTCTGGGTATTAGTTCTATTGTGAGTAGTCAAGGCATTTCCTGTGTGGTGACTTTGTGATGGTTAAATCCCTATTTCACTTATTCTTAGATTGCTCCTAGGAGGTTTTTTTTTTTTTGTGTGTGTGTGTGTGTGTGAGATTCAGCTTCTCTTTGAGGAGTTTTTATTGTAATTTCTATTCCCCATCAAATTTGGGAGATCTCCCTCCTGCTGTAGGTTCTTCCTTGGGAGAGAAAATCTTCATGCCATAGGTTATACTTCATGAAAAAGAGTTTTTCTTGAACACTTCATACTAGGTTAATCCCTTTGAAGGCTAAGGGAATGAAGACAATCACTGTACATAGTAGTGTAAACCACAATTTATCTTTGGGGCATAAGGAACATATGTCTCTTTGGGACATGGGGTAGTTTCCTGAGATTTGTTGTCAAATCTAGAAAAAGAATGGACAGAATGTCAAAGATACATGTACATTGAGGCCCATTTCCCTTAATTTTGCCTCCTGTCTATGCGCTTGGAAGAGTTTCATAAGTAATGTAATTATTTTAGGGCCCAGCTCTGTCTAAATGAAATTTCCATCTTCTCTGCCAAAAACAAAGCGAGCAAACTGTTCTGACTCACTCCACCTACTGAGGCTATTCCTTTGGTGATTCTCCAAGTTGTCCTTACGACAGCCCCAGTATACTAATTTTTTTTATTTTTTTATATTTTTATTGTTTTTTTTTTTTTTTTTTTTTTTTTTTTTACAGAGAGGAAGAGAGAGGGAAAGAGAGTTAGAAACATTGATAAGAGAGAAACATTGACCAGCTGCCTCCCGTACACCTCCCACTGGGGATGTGCCCGTAACCAAGGTATATGCCCTTGACCGGAATTGAACCTGGGACCTTTCAGTCCGCAGGCTGACACTCTATCCACTGATCCAAACCAGTTTCAGCCCCAGTATACTAATTGTTGAATTAAACATAACCAGTAAGTGGATCCCCTTAAGGAGAATCTGTCAGTGCTTGCTCTTTTTAGATGTAGGCTTTGGGGAAAAGAGCTCTTTAGTCCATAGGCTTATCCTGAGGGTTTAGGGTTTTGTACAAATTTCTTCTAAACTCAATTGGAGATTTCCAGTTTGAGTTTATGTGAAAGGCTCGGACAGCCAGGGCAATGCCATTCAGGCCAACAGTAGTACGTTCGTCCCTGTAACCATTGTGTCAGGGGATATGTGTGTGTGAGTTTGGGTCAGAAGATGGCCCAAATAAGATCTCTTGACACCCTGGATGTCCCCGACCCTCACTAAATGTTGTTACAGCATCTTCTATCTTTTGCTTCTTGTCATAGTGCTGTAACTCCCTCCTTGGTATGGCCAAGGAACTAGAACCCCTTCTAATTACATATAGTAACCTAATTGCCATGAATTTGATGGTGTGGGGTGAGAATGCACATGATTTCTTTCTCGTTTTGGGTGCTTTGTGTACTGTCCACTCTTCTTTCTTTTTATTATTTTTTCTTTAAAAGAAATCTTTAATGTTGAAAATATTATTCAGGCCTCCTTTTGCCTCCATTAACCTCTTCCAGCCTGCTCCCATACTCCCCTTTCTCCTCTAGCCCCCCCCCCCCCCCCCCCCCCGTTTGTGTCCGTCCATGGGTTATGCATATATGCCTACAAGTTATCTATTTTTCTCTTTTTTCTACAGGTCCGATCCAGCTCAGCCGCCCACTGAAGGGGCAGAAGGGGCAGAAGGGACTGCCCCAGGTGGGGGCCCCCCCGGCCCTCCTCCTAATACGACCAGCAACAGGCGACTACAGCAAACCCAGGCACAAGTAGAGGAGGTAGGTGGAGCGTTTTCCCCTGAGGGTTTCCAAATCATCGGGGTTTGGAACTTTTCTTCTTATAGAGAGACAGCTAGAGGCTTTGGGAGGCAAGGCATTCATCCGTTAGTTACGCAGGGCAACCCTGCGATCCCGTGGTGGCTGTTCTTCCCCGTGTCTCTGGTAGAGAGCTCAGCAGCTTTGTTTCTGGGCCCCCCTCAGGTGGTGGACATCATGCGTGTGAATGTGGACAAGGTCCTGAAGAGGGACGAGATCCTGTCGGAGCTAGATGACCGAGCGGACGCCTTGCAGATGGGAGCGTCACAATTTGAGAGCAGTGCTGCCAAGCTCAAGAGGAAGTATTGGTGGAAAAACTGCAAGGTGAGTTTTCTTGTCCTCTCCCCACTTCTTTTTCCTGGGCCACAACTCACAGAAGGCCAGAAAACCCTCAGGTTCTACATTCCCTCCCTTGAGTGGTACAGAACTCTTCTTGGGAGGAAGTCTTAAAAGCCTCCTTGAGCTGCATTACCCAGAATCGGCCGCCAGGGTAGGCTAGAGTATTCAGACCTAACGGGGGCTACCCTGAGGTGTTTGGAAATGGTTAGTCAAGCTGCTTTTGCCAAAAGGACCCCTGGAAAATGTTTCACCTGGCCCTTCCTCAAACACTCAACACCGACACAATGACTGGAGTAGATAAATGTATTTAAATCCGTGCGGCTTTTAGGAATGAGCTGAACACTTCACAATGAGAAAGGAACCACTTGACTGCAGATCCATTGCAGTGCTTTTCAACACAACAGTACCTAAAGCAAAAGAAACAAGCTGCAGAAGCTCTGATGTGTCCGAGGCACTTCGCCTGTGGTGCAGGGGTTATTGTCTGGTGGAGAGCATGGGGGTGGGGCCCTCTCCCAGAGGCCTGCAGATTTCCCTGGGTGCCGTGCGTATCTTTCTCCCAAAGACAGAGGAAATTCTCTTCCTGGCTCCTTTCTTCCTTTCCGAAGTCCAAGGATCGATTTTTGTTTTTGTCAATTTCTCCTCAGATGATGATCATGCTGGGGGCTATCTGTGCCATCATCGTGGTAGTTATTGCAAGTAAGTATTCCTGAGGTTGCTGGTGGGGTGAAGAGGTGGGCAGGTCCCGGAGTCTTCTCCCAGCCCCGTCTGCCTGCCTCCCTGCCTGAGGAGAGGGGCAGCTCCGACTGAGGTATGGAGATCACTGTTGTGGAATCGCCACCTGGCTCAGGAGGGAGGGAGGGCAAAGACAAAGGACTCCCTTGATGGACAAGGCTTCCCTCTGCTGTTTGTCACTGTCTTGGGTCCGAGGGAGACATGGGGATGGGACACCTACAACTGAAAGACCCGAATGCCTAGTGACCTGGTGTAATTTGTCCTCTTGTTTTCTCCTGTCTCTGTCTCTGTCTCTGTCTCTCTCTCTCTCTCTCTCTCTCTCTCTCTCTTCCATCTTGGACTTCCTGATACCTGTGTCCAGTCTACTTTTTTACTTGAGAATGTGCCAACCCTTCCCTGTCCTCCATTACCATCCAAACCCATGTTCCTCTCCTTGTTTGCTCTCTCAACCGACTTCCCCATCTACCTTCCTCCCTCCCAGCCCAGGTTTCTCCACTGCTCATTCCTCCTTTTCTGTTGCTTTCATTTGCACTACATCCCTCAGCACTAGCAATGCTGCTCCTGGCTGCAATGTGAAGCAACTATCTGAAGAGCAACAGCTGGCACCTCCTCCCTCCCTGCTTCTTATAAAATCGCAAATTCCTCCAAAGCCAAAAAGAAGTGGAGGCCAAGGGAAGGGGATGGGCGTAGCTGTAGGGACATGCCCACCAAAGTGTCAAGATTCGGGGAGGAGAAGGGTATCCGTGCCCATGGTGCCTCTGGGAAAGCCCGGCCGCTGGCAGGAGGAGGCCGGGAACACCTGGGAAAATGGTGGCTCACTCAGGGCTGCCCTGGTCACGTGGAGCTCTCCTCCTCTGCCAGGCCTGAAGAGGATCCTGGGTGGGTGGGCTCAAAGTCCAACTCGGTCCTAGTGCAATACCCTCTTAGATAGTGAAACCTGTCTTTTGCAGTTATTTCTAATCTGTTAGTCCAAGGTTTTCTATGTCTTCAGGGATCTTAACAGCCTTTTACTTTGTTCTCCGGTGACCTGGAGGACGCATATGAATTGTGAAAATACCAAAATTCTCATTGCCATCCTAGAAGCAGCCCCCCAAGCTCGTAATGGGAAGGGGCTGATCCTTGTCCACATTTTCTGCAGCGTTCCTGTCATATAGCCAAAGTTTGGGACTCTTGATTCGTTTTCATTGTTGGCATAAAGAGAGAGGGAGTATTAGTTAGAGAGAAACAGTGAATGAAGGGCCTAATTTGAAAATCACGAGCTCAGAGGAAGCCACTTCTTGCCTTCTCTTGTTAAGGAGGGTCCTGATCCTCCCCTCCTGTTGATTAAGGAGTGTGAGGGGTCCTTGGACGTTCAGGGACTTCCTCTGCACCACTCCTGTGTACTTGCCAAAGACAGGGATGAGGCAAGATGGCCTTGCTGAGGCCTGGCTGATTCTGTATATTTAGAGGAGCCCAGTATATCCACCGACTCAGTCTTGGGGTAGGAGGCGGACAATGTAGGCAGTTTGTGCTATCATGGGGCCCTTTCACCTAGAGCCACCTGTCTGTTCTTCCCGCATTGTACTCCCCTTCTAAACCACGTGTACCCCTCTGAATTCCACTTTGCCTGCTTTCCTTTTCTCTTTGCATGGCTTGTGGGTCCAGATAGTGGAATCTAAGGATGGCAGCTACTCAGCCTGTGCGGAGGCCACTGCTGGGCTTCAGGATAGGTGTGAGGGAGGCAGGCAGGCTGGGAACAGAAGGGGAAACACCCATGCTCTTGTGTTCCTTCTGTCCTCTGGCCCACAAGCAGGAAGAGGCAGGGCTGGGGCTGGATGCTCACTTTCCATGCAGCAGCATTTCATTGCACAGAACCATCCTTCCTCTCCCTGTTCCCCACGTTCCCTGTGTCCTGCCCCAGGGTGGGACTGAAGAGCTGGAAGAAAGCAGTCAGTGTACCCTCCCAACGGTTCCCCCCCGAAGGTCTCCACTCTCCTCTGGGGGTCACCGCTGGAGAAGAACCACCACTGTCCTCGATGTGCCCCAAGCCTGGAGCAAATTCGTCCTCTTAGCCCACCCGCCCGTGTCACAGGGATTACTTCCTTGGGTTTCTGTCCTGCCGAATATAGTTGGCTCACCAGATATAGTTGGCTGTGTTCTTTTGGAGATTTCAGCCCTTCTCCTTCCTTTCTCATCCCACGGTGTGTACACCCTCTTTTGTGTCTTTGCTGTCCCCTTTCCCTCCTACCACCCATGTGCATGGGCAACTATGCAACCAAACCCTGGGACTTTGCAGGCAAATGAAGCCGAGCTTCCCACATCCCCTTCAGTTTGCCATGAGACATGTGGGGTTTCCGCTGTGTGTCCGTCATCACCCCTTTGTCTTTTTTTCCTAACCTCAATCTCATACCTGTATAGAATAATAATTGTATCTCACCAAAGGCATGTGGCTTATCTACCGATTTCATGTATTCTAAACAAAGGCGCGAAAAATATAAATTCCTGACTACACTGGCTTGGTTGTTGTTTGGGTTGGAGTACCTAAGGAGAGAGGTGGGGAGGGGACTGCTTATTTCTAGTAGTCTGATGTTGCTCTATGCCGGAAGGGCTGGCTAATGTGTGCCAGATGGTCTTCGGAGATTAAAGCTCCGTGTTGGCAAAGGAAGTGGTCTCTGCTCTCAGCATTCACGCCTGCAGCAGCCCAACTCTTCCGGTGCCAGTGAGAGGAAGTGACGGCAGGAAGTTGGGTGAGGATCCCACGCTGACAAACACCTGCAGGTTTTCTCAGACATCTCCTATCTACCTCCTTCCTTTGTGCGGAGTGCCACACAGAGTATTGACTGGCAGATTTTAGAAATAAACAAAAAGAAATCTTTCCCTGGCAGCTGAGTCGGTTGAGGAGGAGTAGGGATGAGGCGTTGCGGGTATCCTGAAGCACCCAGCAACTGTCTAAGGAGCAGAACCTAATTACAGCTCAGGGTTACACAGAGCACCCGAGATGGGCCCCAGGGCTGCCTCATAGGGCCTTTATTTCACACCTTCAACACTTTGCAGCAAGGCCTGGGACACAGCTCAGTTGGGCCCAACAATGGGAAAGATAGGAGAGTGGGCAAACTTTGCCTCCCAGGATCAGGACGCTTTTAATTGGACAGAGTTCAGCATTTGCGGGTGGTGGCCCAACCTCTACCCCTTTGTCCCACTGCCCCTCACTTGCTCCTTTCTTAATTTCTTCCCACTTTCTGTTCAACCACTGTACCTCAAATCTGGTTCTCGCTTTAACTTCCACCCAGACCTTCCCGATGGCCTCTGTTCTCTTTACCCCAGGCGAAGCCCAGAGGGTACCTACAGCATCTCCCCGGCGCAGAAGGAAGGCAGAGTCTTGCACGTGTTTAGAGCCAGTGTCCCTGTGATCTGTGCTTTCTTCATGCTTTTCTTGGGGGTGTTTTTGAGCTTTGAGGCTTGGCTTACAGTCCTTCTGGGAGAACATGACTACTCTTTCTTTTTATTCGGAGGCAGGAGAGCGTCTACCCAGAGGGCCTCAGAGTCTTGGCAGATCTTGGATGAGGTAGCTAGGAGAGAACAAGAGGGAGTGAGGTTGGTTTCAGCTGTGGTACCCCCAAAGTTGTGGGCTGTGGAATTGGGGGGGCGGGACAGGAGGGTGCAGGCTGGAACCTGGGATGCTTGGGCTTCATCTCTGGTCTGGTAGGGAGATGGTGTGAGGAGGTGGTTAGCGGAGGCTGGTTGCAAGTGAGGTGGGTCGGGCAGAGCTGAGGGCAGTGGATGCTTACCTTGCCATCTCTGAAGTCCCAGATACAGCAGTACAAGGAGGAAGAGGCTGCTGCCAAAAAGGACTCCAAAGGCCACAGTTCTCTGCTCTGTAGGTGAGAAGAGTGCAGGCAGGAATCAGTGGGCAGGAACCAGCTCAGCCCTCGCCGGCTGGAGGACAAAGGAGTGTGAGAGTCCCTGTGTGGGGAGCTCACACCAAGAGTTCTGCTCTCCCCCAGGAACTGGGCACACAGTAGCATTTGTACTTGCTCAGGGTTGTTGGATGTTTGTGTGTTCCTCCACACAGAATTCCCACGGTTTCCCACCTCAGGATATCTTTTTTTTTAATTGTTTTTCAAGAGAAATTTAAGTTAGATAGCTGTTGGCAGTTAAACTAGGATTATATAAATAGTTGGAGAATGATGTGAGCTGAGACAAAATCCCAGTCTCAAATAATAATGCCCAGTGCTCCTGGATGTTTGCATTCTAGGTACTGATTCTTTCCTGTTTAAAATTTTTAAATAATATTCTGCGGCTTCAGGATGAAGTTCCAGCTTGAAAGCCTATCAGTGTCAGCCCACTAGCCCTGGTCAGCGTGTTCAGTGGTTAGAGCACTGGCCTGCACATCGGAGCGTCAGGGATTCGAGTGCCTGTTGGGCTCATACCTGGGTTGCAAGTTTGTTCCCCAGCTCCAGTTGGGGGTGGGAGGCAACCCCAATCTCTTCTCTCCTCCTTGCTCTCACCCCTCCTTTCCACTCTATACAAGTCAATGGAAAAAGTATTTTCACTCCTCGGGTGAGGAAAACAGAAAAGTGTCAGCCCACTAATAGTAGTGGAGGGTTTGAGGTTCTGGTGTAATTAGGCTGCCTGTTTTCCCCCATCTCACCCTTTACCATTTACTAAGTAGGTGACCTCGGGCAAATTACTTAACAACTGTGAGGGCCAGTTCACTCATTAATGGGAGTCATGCTAAGACCTGTGATCATACATCTCAGTGCTTAGTATAGTGCTTAATTTATGTAAATGCTCAGTAAATACAATTACTTCTCAAGCTTTAGGCCACTTCCCAGATTTCCCACACACTCTTGGTTCTAGCTGTGCAGTTCCTGAGTCCTCTTTAGGCTGCTTCCTACTTGGCCTTCACACATGCCGTTCTGTCTGTCTTGGTGTTTCCTTGTCCCTCGAGCTAGCTAACTTGGTTATCTTCCCTGGTCACCTTCCCTGCCTGCCTAGTCGGTCCCTCCAAGTGGACTAAGCTCCTTGGGGGCAGGATCAGAAGTTACCCAGCCTTCATCTCCAGCACACCACCTGCTGCCCTGGCACCTGGCGTGCTGGTCTCAGGATGTGTGGTGGCAGCTATGGAGGCTGCTGCCCTGGAAAGAAGCTGAGACTGTGAATGAACATAGTGTAGTGGGAAGCAGAACGAGACCAAAGATGAGCTGGAGGCAGGAGAGCCACAAGCCCAGGGTAGAGGTGGGAGAGGAGGGTACCTGGTGGGGCAGCCCAGGCACTGGTCACAATGGGCTCATCCAGGGAGATGTGGGCGACCTGACAGGTGTAAGTGGCACCAGCAGAGCCAGGTTCTGCCGTCAGGGAGGAGGAGATGCTGTAGGTGCCCTCTGGGCTTTGCCGGAGGCTGGAGAAGGAGGTATCAGAGACTGGGACCGGGGCTCCACCCAGTTCCTCTCGGGTCCATGTCACAGTCACGTCCGGAGGATAATAGCCAGCAATGTTGCAGATGAGAGTGGGTGGCAGAGCTTCACTTGCCAAGCCCAGTCGTACTTTGGGAGAAGCTGGAAGAGAGAATAAGATTCCAGAGGGGTCAGTGGGACAACGGAGAAGACTAAAGCCTTCTCTTCCTGCCGAGAGTGAGCTAGGATGTGGAGGCTGAAGCTTCATCCTCAGTGGAGTGCCAAGGGCGGTGAGGAGTCCACCCTGGGTGCAGGCCATAAAGGGGTACATCTTCCACAGGTAGTTGAAAGACAGTAGTAAAACCAACTAGCGACGGGCTTGCTTCTCATCACCATAAGTGATGAGAAGCAAGTGACTTTAAGGGTATCAGTGAGGAAACCCTCTTCTCCACCAGGACCACTCCCACTGCGCCTCCTTGGTTTGCTGCTGCTCCTTTAGGGTGTGTGATTGGAGGCAGCCGGCCAGGGCAGGGCAACCGGATCCTGGTCTGGGAGGTTTTCTCAGTGGGCTTACCCAAAGTGTGACAGAAGACAATCTGATGCCATCTGCACCTCTAGAGTGGAGATGGCATTTAGGTTGTGGGAATGCAGTCTGCCTCTCAGGAAATTTGGACTCCACTTTGGAAAACACTCCCAATAAGCCTATCCCTTCCCCTCTCCCCCAGAGAAGCGAGTTCTGGCCTCACCTTGGACGTGGAGCTGGATGATTTGTTGAGCTTGGTACAGAGAGGTGGTGACCTGGCAAATGTAGGCCCCCTCGTCCTTCAGAGTGAGGCTGGGTAGCTTGAGCGAGGCGTCCCCGGCCAGGAGGAGCTGCTCGGGCTCCAGGGTAGCGCCCTCTCGCCTGGCGTGGCCCTGCCCTGCGGTCCAGCTGTACACCAGCTGGCCACTGCCTTTGTGCTGCAGCCGCCACTCCACTCTGGCGAGGTCCCAGCCCGGAGCCATGGAGAAGCCACAGTGCAGGGAGGCTGAGGACCCCCGCTGGAGACTCAGGGACGGGGTCTGTGTTGACACCTGGAACTCCACTGTGATGAGAGAGAGAGAGAGGGCGATGAGTTCAGCTTCCTCTTGAGACCACCTGACCTGAGCTGTGGGCATGTGGGTACACATCTGCCCCTGCCTCCTTTCTTGGACAGTGAGGGCAGTTGGGCTCATTTCCCAGACAGGTGGAACCACAAAGAAATGGGGCTCTAAAACCATATGATTTCACCCACGTGTGGAGTATAAAACGGAAACTTCTGAACACAAACAGCAGTGTGGTGGTTGCCAGAGGGAAGGGTGCAGGGGAGAAAAAGGAGTCCTAATATGAGGTGACAGGAGAAGATTTGACTTTGGATGGCGGGTACATGGTGCTAGGTACACATTTTTTAATTTAGTAACCCACACATGAAACCTATATGTTCATGTTGACTAATGTCACTCCCGTAAAATTTAATTAAAAAACAAAGAAATGGGGCTCTGGAAAGGCAGTGTGACACACAAGGCGATCTGAACTATTTTGGAGCCACCCCTGGATAATCTGGTGAAAGCTGTTGACCTCTCACCAGGAAGATACGCATGCAGAACTGTGGGTTACTGTTGACTCTTGGGTAAGAACCACTGGAGTAGCATAAAACATTTTGGAACCCTGGTTCTTCCATGTGGTTGCTCTGTGACCTTGGACAAGTCACTTAGTGTTGCCAAGCTCACCTGTGGAAGGCAAGGCTGCCGTGAAGTCTAAGTAGGAGTAAGAGTTTAAAAAGCACACCACTGTGGCTCAGTTGGTTGGGAATCATCCTGCACATGGTTGCCGGTTCGATTCCTGGCGGGGGCAAATAACTGGGTTGTATGTTCAATCCCCGGTCGGGGCATGTATGGAAGGTAACCGATTGATGTTCCTCTCTCCCATCGCTATTTCTCTCTCACTCCCTTCCTCTCTAAGCATGAGGATTGAAAAATAAAATAAAAAGCACACAGACATGCTAAACCTAAATCTAATGAGGAAAACAATCAGACAGTGGGATATGGTACCAGACAAGGCCTAAGCTCTTCAAAGATGTCGGGGCCATGAAAGACAGTTCTGGAATAAAGGAGCCTAAAGGCACAAGACGGCTAACGGCGTGTGTGGTCCTTGCTTGAATCCTGGACTCTAAGAACCAGAGAGCTACAAAGAACAGTAGTGGGGTAATGGGAGAAGTTTGAATTTGGACTTCATACTTGACAGTATTATTATTATTATTATTATTTAAATATATTTTATTGATTTTTTACAGAGAGGGAGAGAGATAGAGAGCTAGAAACGTCGATGAGAGAGAAACATCGACCAGGTGCCTCTTGCACATCCCCTACTGGGGATGTGCCCGCAACCAGTGTACATGCCCTTGACTGGAATCTAACCTGGGACCTTTCAGTCCGCAGACCGACGTTCTACCACTGAGCCAAACCAGTTTGGGCTTGACAGTATTATTATATCAATTTTTAAAATATTGACCTTAAGCATGATGCTCAGTGATGTAGCAAGTGGGACTGCCCTGGCAAATATGTTCTTAAATTCTTGACACACTGTACCCCCTTATTGTCTGCACCACGGTAGACCACCTTGGTTTGCTGAGGTAATGTTTCTGTGATGATGGAGAATATCCCCGTCTTTGGTTATAAACCAAATGCTATAAACCACATGCTATACGTGGCCGTATTTGGAGTGAAGTATTGGGATTACTGAAGCTTTCAATTTGTTCAGGTATATCTATTAAGAAAATGCTAACAATTGATTGGACCTAGGTGTATAACATACAGGTGTGCATTACATTATTCTTTCACCTTTTGTAGTCTTAAAATATCCCAAAATAAAAAGGGAATATCTAGCTATACCAAGACTATGAGGACTCCTCTTTTCTGCTGTAGCAGGATACACTTAGGTTAGACCACAGTATAGTAGACTGTTCTGGGCTTTCTAAGGATAGGTGGGTAGCTCCCTAATCTTTGGGCTTGGTTGTCTCTTTTTGGAGGTAAAATAGTAGGTTTAATGACCTCTGGAGAAATTTATCCTCATGTTCTCAGTTCCCTGCATCCTCTGGGATGTGCTGGAGAAGGCAGAAACTGGGTTTTACTAATAATATTAATAAGGGGTAACGAACAAATTCTGAACCCCTGTGCTTTGCTCTCATCAAACACCAGACCAGGATGGCTTTTCACTGGGAGAAAACTGGTGCTTGGCCCAGGAAGCCTACTACGAACAGCATACGTGAATAGAGCATGTCATTTCCTCAGGCAAAACAGTGAGGAGGAAATTATCCCCATTTTGGGCCTTTGGAAAGAAAGGGCCAAGGTCGAGGGGACACCTTGAGATGACTGATGTGGATGGAGGTGGACTTGTTCCCTTCCTTCTTCTATTCCTTGCCCAGCTGGTGTGGCTCAGTGGTCGAGTGTTGACCTATGAACTGGGAGGTCACAGTTTGATTCCCAGTCGGGGCACATACCTGGGTTGCGGGCTTGATCCCCAGTGTGGGGCCTGCAAGAGGCAGCTGATCAATGATCCTCATCATTGGTGTTTCTCTCTCTCCCTCTCTGAACTCAATAAAAATATATTAAAAGGAAACTTTTAATTTTCTTACCTGTAGTCAGCACAGTCCCCTGGGGGCCCAGGGGCAGGTTCATCACGGGGTACGAGAGAGCTGTGTTCTCAGCATCCACCAGAGTCTTCATCAGTATGGAGACACTGGGCCCCCCTCCAGAGACCTGCAGGTTGGCCATGAACCAAGCTGCTGTCTCCACAGCAACCTCTTGTCTGGCCTGGAGAAAGTAGCGGGAGATCTCACAGGTCACCTCCTTCTCGCTGCAGTCCGCATGGAGCAAGGCCTCCGCGTGGGGAATCTGCACCGGACTCACTGGGGGAGAAGGGCGGGTGGCACAGAGGGCGGATTGGATGGAGGCGGGGGTGGGGGGTGGGGTGGGGTGGGAGCAGATGCAGGCGGGCGCACTGGGAACTGGGCTGTCCCAATGAAGGGAGCTCTTATCTTACCTGAGGCCTCAAAAGTGACAGGTGGGTTGTCTTGGACCAGCGTGCTCACTTGGAAGTCACTGAAGCCTTCCAGGGAGCCGTCATCCAGCACTGGCACCTGCTTCAGCACCAGCAGGGCCTTCACCATGGTCTTGTCGCTGGCAAAGCCTCCACGGTGCATGCCTTCCTCCACCAAGAAGCAGTCCAAGACCACGTCCACTGCCCGCCACTGCCTCTCCGCTGCGGGGACTGTTGGACCTCAGAGGGAGGGTGGGGATAAAAGGGAGAGATCACCCAAAGGTCTTATGTGCACACTTATGAGCCTAACCAGTGGTCGAGGACAATAGGGGGGTGGGGGATTGGAATGGGGGGTTGAGGACAAATATGTGATACCTTAATCAATAAAGAAATAATAAAAAAAGATGGCTGCAGCCGCCGTTATTTCTGTGCCCACTCCCTGCCCCAACTGTGCAGTCATTAAGGCTGAAAGTTGTGTTCCAGGGGCCTTGCTATCTGTGTCCCTATCTCAAAATCCCCAGGTCAACTTCTGGGAAGCACCTGCCTTTCCAGGAACTATTTGATACGAGTGATTCAAAGTCCTGGATTTGCCTTGCTCCGCCGGGTTTATGCTTTTGCTTTTATTTCCAGCCATCAAATGAAAGTTATTTTCAGGCAAAGGAGTTCTCAGCAAAAGCAAATAAAAGCTTTGCCACTGCGAGAGACAACAGGCCATCATGCAGTCCAGGGTGTTGGCAGCCATCTTCTCCATTTCCCAGCTGGCAACAGGTCTGCTCTGCTTTTTCCTGCCACAACACGTGGCCTTCCCCTCTCCGCCTCCCGATTACATTCCTGGTGATTTCCTGGGTGGGGAACATTTCTCTTCCGAAGGTGTCCCCTCTCCCAAAGACAGCGCTCCCACCACATTCACTGTGAAAGGCCCTCTTTCTCATTTGGCTTTACGCCCTGGGTCTCAGCCTTTCTCCCCGCAACACAACTGGTTCCGTTGTCAGCCTCTGAGCCGGTCTCCCCTTGGGCTTAGAAGCGATTGGCTCCTTTTCCCTTGTGTAACCCGGGGGAGGGTGTCTATCCGGAGCTTCCCTAGCCTCTCTTCCCTCCAGGCTGCCCCCACTCACCAGGGTCCGCAGCTCCGGACAGAGCCAAGCAGAGCAGCAGGCACCACCCCTCTGTGCCCATGGGGGCTGCTCTCAGGCCGGCTGCCGCCCTCTCCACTGGCTCCCCGCCTGCAGGGTCCACAGAGAAGAGGGGCCTCTAAATTCTCCTTTCAATACTCCTGGCTGGCCGACGTTTTGAGAGTTTCTCTCCTGTCCGCCTAGGACCTCTCTTTCACTTTCACTTTGAGGAGGTGCCACTGCGGCTGCCTTCGCCTCTGGGTGAAGCCATTTCTTGCTGGTGCCAGAGCCCTGTTCACGGTTCGCCTTCCCAACCCCACGCACCGCCCCTGGCGATTCCAAGCCCTGACGCCACTGCTGCACCCTTCTGCTCCCCACCAGCCCCGAGACAGTGGAGGTGTGGGGACCGGGAGGTGGGAGGAGGAGGAAGGGAGAGACTAGAAGCAGGAACCCCGTGAGTCTGGGAACCTTTTCTCATTTTCTGTTGGTACCACACCCCCGCCCTCCCCTGCTGGGCAGGCTCCAACCCCAGACCGCAGGGGAGAAGGCCCCTCCCTCCGATCCCAGAGCGAGACGAGGCTGGGAGTGGCCTGGGAGTGGCTTGCGTTGTCAGTGGAATTTCAGAGAGGCGGCATGTAGCGATGATCTCTCACTTTATTTTGCTGTTTCTAAATACAGCACGTGGGGCTTTCCTGGGCGCAGGTGTGTTTGACAGCTGGAACCCCGGCCCGCCTCCGGCACGGAGGTGACGCTGGATGGGCCGGGACACATCCCGCTTCCCACCCTCCACCTCCCACGTGTCCCTGTCATGCCAGTCTCCAAAGGTCCTTTCTCAAGGCTGCCGTGCGGAAAGGGTCTGCCGAGGGCCTGGCACTCATTTGCGGTCGCTGGGTGTCATTGCCCCTGGCTGGGCAGTGGGCCCGGGTGGGGGCCAGGCCTCTTCTGCAGGGATGACCCCTGCTGGGGAGTGCAGGCTCAGAGGTAGGAAGCAGGCTCTGGCTTTCGGTAATCCTCCTGCACGGGGATGGCTTCGCCTTCCTCCTCCCTGGGACAGCTGTAGGGATAGGGCTCAGCAGGCTCCTCGGGACTGTCTCCTTTGTCTGCAGAAGCAGAAACAGATGAATCTTGGCCAGGGGTCAGGGGAGGGGGCAGAGGAAGAGGAGATAGGCAAAGGAGGTAAGCTTGAGGGAGGGCTATTGGGAGGACCTCAGCGAAGAGGCGGGAAGACGAGGCAGGAGCCAGGGCTGATACAGATGGAGGAGGGAGGCTTCCACCAGGCCCCAGGCATGGGTGGCAGGGCTGAGGAGGTGGAGGTGGGGTCAGACATAGGACTGAAGACCTGTATTTTGTCTCTTACTTTGTCCATTTTTTCTTCGTTGATGGAGGAACAGGGCTCCGACCACGGTGAAAACAAGAAACATTCCAGACAGGATCACGAAAATTCTGATGCATTCTGAGCTGCACAGGAACCTCTGGGCTGTGACAGGCAGGGGCCACACAAGGGTTTGGCACGAGGGCCCAGCCCTAGACTCCTCTCACCCCAGCCCTCCCCTCATCTTTGCCTCTCTCCTCCCAGCCTTCCTCTCTGCCCCCACCACTGGACCAAGTCCTTTCCTCATCCCTAGACTCTGCTCTTCCTCCTCTTCTCCTCATTCCTAGGAGCTGGCTTGTCTCTTGGACTCCTCCATATATCTTCTCTCTTAGAGTGGAGATTGTGGAGAAAACTCACCTGGCCGTTGAGTCGGGAGAGCTGGAGCAGGCAGCCTGAGGTCAGCCAGAGTCTGCATGTGCCTGGCTGCTGTCCTGGCCTCCGGCAACTCTGGAAAACCAGACGGAGGGTGAACAACAGCAGGGAGCCAATAGGGAAAGCCCAGGCTGAAGGAAAGGCAGAGAGTTGGATGAGATGGAAAGGCAGAGAAGAGATGAGCCAACCAGGCAACTCATGTTGGGGGGTGGGGTGGCTCAGAAGGGGTGCTCCTTGAGAGGGACCCTTACCCCAAACTGGACAAAGAGTTCCCTGGAACTTACTTTGGGTGTAAGGTGAGGGGGTGGATTGTGGGCCTGGGGCCGGCGATAGACGAGGGGTCAGCGTGGGGTTCCTAGCAGGATAGCACTCGGTACACTCCTTGTCCATGCACTCCCAGCCCCGGGGGCAGGTACACATAGTGTTAGCGGTGGGGGTACAGTTTCGAATGAGATGACCTGGGGACAGAGGAGGTGGGAGGAATACAAGACACTCAGGCCTCAGAGACCTGCAAGCCCCACTTGCTTAATCTTCTCCCCCAGCCCCACCCCATCCCGGCCTCTCTCTCACCACCACCCAGTCCCTTTGCCGTTAGTATTACTGTTATTAAGGAAAATACTTGGACCTTTTAGAAAATCCATGGTTCACAAGGAGACACTATGAAAAGTAGGAACAGCCTGAGATTTTTACAATTGGATTATAATATAGAGAAGTGTACACATCGAAAGTGTAAAGCTTGAGACGTTTGGTACCACCAGTTGGACTCACAGGTGTAACCAGCAGCAGGGTAAGCAGAAGATGACCAGTAGGGGGTGATCATGAAGGTGTTTGCCAAAAAGAAGGGAAGGGCTAAAGAAGGGGCTGGGCCTGCTGGCCCGGCTCAGCGGTTGAACATCCACCTATGAACCAGGAGATCACAGTTCAGTTCCCTGAGAGGGCACATACCTGGGTTGTGGGCTCGATCCCCAGTCGGGGGTGTGCAGGAGGCGGCCAATCAATGATTCTCATCATTGATGTTTCTCTCTCCCTCCTTTCCCCTCTGTAATCAATGAAAATGTATATTAAAAAAGAAGAAGAAGAAGAAGGGGCTGGGATTGGGTAAAAATGGATGAAATGCCATTATTCTCAGTGACGAGTATCCATATATCTGGAGTTGTTTTTTTCACCAAGTGTAACGTGCACAAAATTCTAGACTATATGGTACTTCTCTCTCTTAAAGATGGGAATACTGAGGTTGAAGAGGACCAAACTCTTTCAGATCCCCCCTCCATGCCCTCCGAGCCTCCATCCAGCAGCCAGGTGCTGCCCGAGTGCTCTGAGGAGCCTTTGGGCTGTCTCAGGGAGAGAAGGATCATGGGTTGGGCTGGGCTTGGCTGGAACATAGCGAAGGGAGCACAGGCTAGCTCAGGGCTGGGAAAAGCTTTCCGGTGAGACCTGCAGAGGGGAGCCTGCAAAGGGGGCTGCAGAGGGACGAGCAGGTTTTGAATTTTATTTTATTTTTAAAAATATGTTTTATTGATTTTTTTACAGAGAGGAAGGGAGAGGGATAGAGAGCTAGAAACATCGATGAGAGAGAAACATCGATCAGCCACCTCTTGCACCCCCCTACCAGGGATGTGCCCGCAACCAACGTACATGCCCTTGACGGGAACCGAACCCGGGACCCTTGAGTCCGCAGGCCGACGCTCTATCCACTGAGCCAAACCGGTTTCGGCAGGTTTTGAATTTTAAAAGTCTGGCCCCGCTGGGCTTGCTGTCAAGAAGAGAAAAGCGTCTGTTAACAGTCACAGGTTTAAGTCAAGTGGACTGAGGAATGAATGCGTCTTGTGCATGCAGGATGTTGCTGTTGGATTTGCAATGGCAAAACCCTTTTTACTTAGTTAATTTTTAAAGGAACACAGTGTTAAAAGCCCAGTGAGACCAAACACTTTTTTTTTTTTTTTTTGAGACCAAACACATTTTGCAGGCAGGTAGTGGAAGAGCTCAGCGAAGTAGTCTGTCCTCATGGGTGTCATGCCGCAGGGCATTTGTTCAAAGGGTTAAAACCTGCCACCCCAAGTGCCCTGGCATCTCACTCCTGAAGTCCTAGCTACAATGGAGGAATAACAAACGGATTCCTAACAGCCACGGTTATCACACTTCTTACTTAAAAAAAAGAAATTACAATTTTTCATTTGTGTGTGTGGCTGCAATTGGGGCTCCTAGAGCCACTTCCTCCTTTCCAGTGTCTTGATGCCAACCACAGGTCCATTCTCGGCAGCCCCTCTGATTTCGCTTACCCTTTCCCTACACTAGCGTTCCCATCACATCAGCATTCCCGCTTCCCCCTCTCCGGCTGCCCCACTTCGCAGCGCTGGCTCCCTTGCCTTACTTAGCCTTGAAGCAACGGGAGGGAAGCTCCGGCTCTGCCCCTTCTGTGCTCCTCCACACCCAGCTCTACCCCCTTGCTCCCCGGATGCTTGCCCATCTCACCGGAGTGGCAGTGCCGGCAATTCTCGCAGTGGGGCCGGGCGTTGTGGTCTGGGGAGAAGGAGATCCCTGGTACACACGGCTCACACTGAGCGGCCTTTCCCTGCCCGTCACAGTGCTTCTTGAGGAACGTTCCTGTGAGCAGAGGTCCAGGGTCAAGGCTGCTTCTCTGCCCTCCACAAGGATTCCTCTCCCCGCTGGAGCGCAGACTCACATCCTGCCCCCTTCTTCCCCATCCCAGTCCTCTTCCCCACTCAGCCTGCCCCTGGCAGGGCGTCCTCTCTTACCGGGCTCACACATCTGGCAGCACAGCTTCTCCTGAGCCCAGTAGTGCTTCTCTGGGCAGCTCTTGGGGGCTGGGGTGGCCGAGAGCCCCGCCAGAGCCCCCAGAACCCACAGCCAGCAGGCAGGTGGCCAGGCCATGGCTCCTGCTGGGGACGCTAATTGCTGGCCTCTACCCTGGCTGCGCCTCCGCTTCTTCCTCTTTGCACCTCCTGGGCAGCAGCTGCAGATCTCCGCGTAGTCCTGCTTCAGGTGGCAAGCCAACCTTTGGTGGCAGTTGAAGCTCTACTGTGACTGTTGTGTTTTTACAGCAACAACCTCTTACCCCTCCACCCTTTCTGCGTGCTGGGTGCTGGGGAGAGTGGTTAAAGGGCAAACTCTGTCAGAAGACCTGCTGCTCTTTAGTCATCCCCCCTCGTCCCCCCAACCCCCCACCAACGTGCAGCTTCTCCGTTTCCGTCTCTGGTTGGTGCTCAAGAAGAAGGTAACCCACGTTCGCCTGCCTCCTTTATAAAGCGCTGAACGTGCAGCCACCCGCCTCTCATCCACATACTTGCACTCAAAGGTGCCCGCATTAAGGCCCTGGCTGCAGCGTACAAGCCAACTGGTACGTCCCTTCTCCCCTCTCCGCAGAGGATAAGTTTATTTTATTTCTTTTTCACAGAGATAAGCAAATTAGAGAAGGAAGGGGAACTGGAACTGAGGACCTGAAACGGGGTCAGGTGAATGTTAGAATTCACAAGTTTTCAGATTTTGGGAAGGAACTAGCACCACGAGACACCTTCACGGGGCTGGGGGAGCGATCGTAATCAAGTGCAGCATTTCTGCAGCAAAAGGGTTGAATATTTATGCTACGTGGGGTGGATAATGACTATAACCAGCCTTGGTCTTATGGCCAGAAGAGTTTGTGATGGAAGCGTTAAAATGGCATCCAAGGGGCTCAAACCTCTGTCACAGTCTGTGCTAGGAGACCACACGTGACTCCATTTAGTCTTCCTGCCAGTCTGTGATACCAGGTATCACCCCCTGACCATCTGTCCTTCCCTCCTCATCCCACTAGCACATTCATCTTCCCCTTCCCGCCTCTGGCTGTGTCAGTCACTGGTGTCCTGGAGCCCCAGGGCCTCTCCCCCATAAGCCTTGTGCACTGGGGTAAAGGTCGATGCCTGTGCACCATCTCTTCCCTACTTCTGTGGTTTGGGAGAATATTGGAAATAGCTGGACTTTCCCCTCTGAGTTCTAGGAACATAGGGGTCAGACAGCTGTCCCTCCTTTTCCCCTGAGGAATGAGGTGTGGGTTTCTCTAGGCTATTTTTCATTCATTTAGGGACTTTGCAGTTGTTTCCACAGGGCTCAAGAAATGTCACACCCCTGTGATCTCACTTGCCATATCGGTTCTCTGTCTTACTCTTTCATTTCCTTTCTCTTCATTTTTTTCCACCCCCTTGCCCTTCCCCGACCCCCTTTAGTCTTCAGGTGGGCCCTGTCTGCTAGGAAGCCATATATGGTGTGATTTGAATAGCTACTTATGCAAAACCTTTGTTTTCACTGTTGGGCAGGGGTGCCTGAATTCCCATCTCAGTGTTAGCTTTGGGATCTGAGGATTTTGCTGTCCTGCCACATTCTCAGACAATGGTCAATATTCTCACATTTCCCTAGGGAGTAATCTTAACCATCAAGGAGGCCGAGGAGAGGTGGGATCCTGTGGGGATGGACAGGACCCTAGAGGAATGATGAGTTGGGGACTTGTAAGGAGAAACTTGCTGAAGAGGGGATTGGAGGACATAGAAGACTAACAACCTTGACTAGACCCTGAGCTGCTCACCTATGTGAGGCCTGTGTTCTCTGTGCGAAGGCTCATGTCCCCTCTTCTACTCATCACTTCTCCATGGGGAGAGGGCAAGAGAAGGGTCTGCCTGGCTCTCCTGGAGGACCCCTGGTCAGGAGAAGGAGAGCCATGTTTCCAGATCTTACTATTCTCCTACCTTCTGTGATGCAAAAGTTGTATCAACTTTTGGTGAGCATTGGCCTGTCCTAGGTTGGCTTCCTGGACAGTCCCTTCCTCTTGTCTACAGGCTCTGAAAGTGCAACCTGCTGACCTCTCCCTCAAAAATCTTCCATCACCTCTTTTTCTTTGGGGTTCAGCTCCCCACAGTTGTCTGACAAAGATATGTGGTGTTTTTCAACAACTCCTTTTCTTACATCTTCAGAGACAGACCCACTGAAAATCTTTTGATGATTTTCATTCCTTTGAGAGATCCTGATCAAACCCTCAGTTCGACTGTTTCCTTAACCTTTGCCCTACCACAGGCCCCAAATTTGGGACACAGTTCTTTCTTGAATTTTCCTACAAACCAGCTGTAAACAGGTGGGGCAACATTTTTATAGAAGTTTTATATATCATAAGGATACCACTTAAAATAGTATTTTGCATATTCTTTTTTTTTTTTTTAGATTTTTCAAAAATTGCAGTTGACATGCATTATTATATTAGTTTCAGGTGTATACCCCAGTGATTAGACATTACATAACTTACTAAATGATCATCCCAATAAATCTCACACCCATCTGGCACATACATAGTTATTAGATTATTGACTATATTCCCTATTAGATTTTTGACTATATTCCCTATGCTGTATTTTACATCCCCATGACTCTTCTGTAACAATCAATTTGTACTTCTTAATCCCTTCACCTTTTCCATCCAACTCCTCAACCCTTTCCTACCTGGCAAAATATATTTTCTGTATCTATAAATCTGTTTCTGTTCTGCTTGATCATTTTATTTTTTAGATTCAATTGTTAATTGTTTATTGCCATTTGTTCATATTTCTCTCCTTCTACTCCTCCTCACTCTCTCTCTTTTTAAAAAAAAATATATTTTATTGATTTTTTACAGAGAGGAAGGGAGAGAGCTAGAGAGCTAGAAATGTTGATGAGAGAGAAACACCGACCAGCTGCCTCTTGCACACCCCCTACAGGGGCTGTGCCTGCAACCAATGTACATGCCCTTAACTGAATTGAACCCGGGACCTTTCAGTCTGCAGACCGACCCACTATCGCTGAGCCAAACTGGTTTCAGCAACTCCTCTTCACTCTTTAACATTTCATGGTGATGAATTCCTTTAGCTCTTTATCTGCCCTTTAATTCCAAATGATAGCTTTGAATCTGGTATTGAGATCCCTCCTACTTTATTCTTCTTTCTCAGAATTGCTGTGGCTATTTGGGGTCTTTTTTTTATTTCAGATGAATTTTTGGAGAGTTCTTTCTAGGTCTTTGAAATATGCTATTGGTATTTTAATGGGGAGTGCATTGAATCTATAGATTTCTTTGGGTAATATGGACATTTTAATGATGTTGATTCTACCAATCCATGAACATGGTATGTTCTTCCATCTGTTTACATTTTCCTCTATGTCTTTTTTCATAGAGTGTCCTGTAGTTTTCTGCATAAAGGTCTTTTACCTCCTTAGTTAAGTTTATTAAGATTTATATCTTAATTTTTTGGTGCGATAGTAAATGGGATTGCTTTTTTAGTCTCTATTTCTATAAGTTCACTATTGGCATATAGAAATGCCATAGATTTCTTGGCGTTAATTTTCTATCCTGCTACACTGCCAAATTCATTTATTAAGTCTATTAATTTTTTGATGGAGTCTTTTGGGTTTTTATGTACAATATTATGTCATTTGCAAATAAGGACAGCTTTACTTCTTCTTTTCCAATTTGCATGACTTTTATTTCTTCTTCTTGTCTAATTGCAATGGCTAATACTTCTAGTACTATGTTGAACAGGATTGGTGAGAGTGGGCATTCCTGTCTTGTTCCTGTTCTTAGGGAAATGGTTTTAGTTTTTGCCCATTGAGTATGATGTTAGCTGTGGGTTTACCATATATAGCTTTTATTATGTTGAGGTATGATCCTTGTACTCCCACCTTGTTGAGAGTTTTTATCAAAGAAAAGATGTTGGATTTTGTCAAATGCTTTTTCTGCATCAATTGATATGTGATTTTTATCTCTCAATTTGGGTATGTGATGTATCACATTTATTGATTTGTAGATACTGTACCATCCTTGCATTACCCTAATATCAAAACCAGATAAAGATAACACAATGAAAGAGAATTACAGGCCAATATCCCTAATGAACATAGATGCCAAAATCCTCAACAAAATTCTAGCAAATCGGATCCAGCAGTACATCAGAAAGATAATACACCATACCAAGTAGGATTCATCCCGGGGATGCAAGGATGGTACAATATTCGCAAGTCAATATTGTACATACAACACATAAACAAATTGAGAGATAAAAGCCACATAGTTATATCAATTGATGCAGATTCTCTGCTTGCATATTCTTGTTCTTAATGGTCCTTTTCACCCCTGAGATTGATCCTCAAAGACAAATGTAAAGTTATTAGTAAAGGTCATTATTCAGCATTTTACCCTACAAAGCAGTAAAGGCACTGACCATCTTGCTGACATCTCTCTCCTCTTCTTCCTCCTTTTTTTTTTTTGGTCCCAGACTAACTTTCAGAAATCTGTCAGGTATCTCATCTCTCTTCAGCCCCTAATCCCAAAATCAATCTTGGCTCTTTATAAATCTATAGCCAGAATCAAAATACTCCACGGAACTAAACTCTCTTAAAGATTTTTTTTTAGAAGGAAATTCTGTTATATTACATAGATGTCAGAAATCACTGTTTGAGATCCTTATCAAACAAACCCTTTAGTTTTTCTAGCCTTCTTTGTCTCTCACTCCATTTCTTATTTCTCCATTCCTACTTTCTTTTATGATCCCCCAGCCTCTCCCCACTGCTTTAGATCCTTTTTCCCAGATAGTCTTTAGAGAACAGCTGGACAGAAAGTTGGGTGGACTGATTAACAAGAGTCTGGGTACTCACACCCCCATTCTGTAATTTGCATTCCTGGGACTCCCCAGTCTGGGTCTCAGCTGTGGGCATTTCTTTCCATCTCTGATCACTTTTCAGCCCTAGCTCCTAGTATCTCCTAGCATGTAAGGCACTCATTATATATTGGATGGTCCAGTCTTAGTCTTGTTCCTTGACAGTTCTATCCATAGTTATAAAATTGAAATTTCAGGGATCCCAGGGCCACACTGACTTCCTAAATTCTACTTTTCATTCACTTGACAAGTATTTATTGCACATCCATTCTGTACCAGGTACCAATTAACTAATAGGATGCAAAGGTGAAAAACAAAACAAAACACATGATTTCTGTCCTCATGGAGTTGAGACAACAATGAGAGAGTCAGACACTGATAAAATAATCTCAAAGACAAATGTAAAGTTATTAGTAATGGTCATTATTTAGCACCATGAAGGGGAGAATCAGGGTGCAATATAGGTGACTGTCCATTAAT